CGCTTGGTGTTAGCATTTTGCACTTTTGCGTTGCCGCTTGTGTGCTTTCGCCGCTGCTGTTGCCGTCAGCATTCTCACTCCTAAGAACCGATACAGCCGTTTTTAGTAATTTAATGTTGTCCCGGGCACTCTCCAAATTCGGCCTTGAATTGCACCCGCCTCCAGTCATGCTCCGTAACGCTGTCATTCGGTTCTGTCCCTTTCCTTACCAAAGTGTTATTTTTATGGTTCTCCCAGTGCTGATTAGGGAAGCGGCGTCGTGGACATCCATAGGACGCTGAACCCACACATTTACAAAAACTGACCATATGCCAGACCACACATCAATTTCAACGCATTTCAAAACATGTAAATCACGCATAAATAGGGTCACAGGAAAAATAGCCTGTATGGCAACAATAAAAAGAGAATTAGAAGAAAATCTATATATTCGATCATTACAAACAAATTTCTAAATTTCTCATGGGTCATAGAGGAACTCACAATACACATTTTAAAATATTTTAAATGAATGATGATAAAAATACAATATTTAAGTTGTGGGATGCAGTTAAAACCATGCCTGGGGGGGCGAATTTTTAACCTTAAATGCACATATTAGAAAAGTAGGAAGATTATGAACGAGAGGGCTGAGCATCCATCTCAAGACGTCAGGGAAAAAAGCAGCAAAAATTAATGCAAATAAAGTAAATGGAATGAGAATGAAAGAAGAAATTAAGGAGAAAATATACAAAAAGAGATCAGCAAAGCCAACAGTTGGTTCATTGAAGAGAGTCATAAAAGTGCTAAGCCTCTGATTAAGAAAACAGAAAATACATAAAACTAATATTAAGGACTAAAAAGAGGATTATTACAGAAGCCGTTTTAAAAAGATAATACTGTGAACAAGCTGATGTCGGTAAACTTGTAAATTTTACTAAGTGGACCAAATCCCCAGAAACATAGTTTATCAGTATGGACACGAGAAGAAATAGAAAGCTTGAGTAGTCCTATGAAAGCAATAGAGTCCTTCATTTCAAACCTCCCCTATGGCGATACCAGAGAATCCTACCAAACATTTAAGGAAGTAATAAAACTGTCCTTACACCAAGATTTCCGGAAATAGTAAATGAGGGAATAATCTCCAGCTGGTTTTATGCACTAGTCTGAATTTGATACCCAAACTCCCAAAGACATTACAGGAAAAAGATGTCGTTGGTTAATCTCATTCATAAACATATGAGAAAAGCCTAAGCAAAAGAATGGATCTATATAGAAGACATATAAACACACACAATACATCCAGACCCAATTGGGGTTATTTCAGAAGTACAAGGTCGACCTGGTATTTTAAAAATTCAATCCATGTAATTCACCACATTAACGTATTAAGGAAGAAGAAAAGGCACATAACCATTTCAATATCTGCATTTGATTCAGTTTAACTTTTATGGTTAAAAAAAACTCTTAGCGAACTAGGAATAAGAATTAAATTTGTTTAATCAGATAGAACATATCTAGAAAAGGGCATGCAGCGAAATCATATGAATAGTGAGACATTGCAAGAGTCTGCTTTGAGATTAGGAAAAGGACACTGCTATTTGACACTGAACTGAAAGTTCTAACACAAAACTGGGAAAAAAAAAAAATATATATATATATATATGGAGAGAGAGAGAGAGAAGGGGAGGGGAGAGAGAAATAGAGGGAGAGATTGGCCCAGAAACAAAACTGGTAGATGTTATGGTTGTATACAAACCCAGGAGAGTCTCGGACAAATTATTAAAACGAATAAGAGCTTCATAAGCTTACTAGGTGGAAAATGAAAACACAAAATCAACTGCAGATCCTCTGGCGGTCCATGAGCGTGACCATTGGGCGTTCACGCTTTTGAGTGAGATGTGCCTCCCTCAAACTTTGTTATGACATTGACACATGACCCGTCTGATGTGACAAAGAAAAAAAGAGAATCAAGTACGGTTCCCTATGCCAGCAAGAAACAGAACATAAAAAATGTAGTGTTATCTGTTACGATATTATCAAAATATATCAAACACCTAGGAATAATCTAACAAAAGGTGTTCAGGACTTCTACGCAAAAATGAAAGAAAACGCAAAAGAAACTTGAAATGGAGAAATTCCATGGACTGGAAAACAGCATTTAAAGAGGTCAGCTCTTCCCAACCCAACTGGTTTACGGATTCGGTGCAATCCCCAACGAAATCGCAATCGTTTGTATGCAGCTCTAAAATCTAGGAGGACAAGTGAAGGATCGAAAACTGCTAAGATCTCGAAGCAGAAAATCCGTGCGAGGTCTGCTTCTCTGAAGTTTCAAACTTATTACAAAGGCGTCGTGATGAAGGCTATGTGGTACAAGCACCAGTACAAATAGAATAGTTAAACGGAAAGCTCACGAGGAAGTCCACACGCTTTTGCACACTTGATCGATGACAGTCGACATGGCAAAGTAGTGGGGGCGGACTTCTCACTAAATGATCCCGGGGCGCCTGGGTATCCATACGGAAAACACTTAAACCCGAGCCCTCTCTCACACAAAGGAAAATCCCAGGTGGCTTGCAGATATACATGTGAATGAGAAACAATAGAGATTTTACGAGATAAGAGACACTATCCTGGTGACCTTGGGATGAAAATTAGTTTTCTTAAAAGTTTTCACAAACAGCCCTAGCCTTAAGTCAAGAATGTGTTCATCAGAATACACGTTCATTCCCACAGGGGTCTGTGTTCAGAACTCCGATGCTGCTGTGCACGTATTAAACAGGTAAGTAACCTATGGCTCATGGTGGGAACCAGGTTTTTCACCGTTGGCGTGGGAGGGGCAGAAAAGCAGAGGAGGTGCTAGAATGATCCGCGTGGTGATGGATTAGAGCTGGAGGTATCAGGGTGAGCCCGCGTTCAGCTTCACATGGATGTAGATGGTTACACGCAGAAATGTTTCTAGATATACGTGTATTCACGGGTTGGTATACAGGCATGTATTTGCTGGCTCCGTGAACTGAGGGGACCTAGAAGCAATGACACCCCAATAGCAGGGAACATGCTTACCCCTCCAATCTTGGTTTTGGTATTCCCCAATGAAAAGAAGTAGGGCTTCTTGGAGCCAGCACGGATGCCAGCATCTGGCAAGAAATATACAAGGTGAGCCTGGAGCATCTTGTAGTCTCAGGAAGTAAGGACGCGCTCCTAAAAACAAAACGAAAGAGGAAAAAAAGATCACAGAGATGAGGGGTATGTCAAAGGGACACAGGAGCCCAACCGGAAAGAGCCCCCAGTGGCCAAAGCTGGAATGACTGGAAAAAAACAAAGTATTGGCATATAGAACTCAAAGTATAGAATAAATATCCACGATTCCATATTGACGGAAAGACATCATTTAATGAATAAATAAATGAGGGAGAAGAAGCACATCTCCCGTGTAGAAGATTACGAGTAGTTTAGGTAGAGTCTCTGTCTTCGAGGGGCGGGACGTGACGCCCCATCCTTCGGGTTAGGTCCCCCAAAGCGGGTGAGAAGTACCTTCACAGTGGAGAAGCCTGGCAGCCATTTGATCAAGGTCAGCGTCAGCCGGGATAAGTCATGGTGACAGCATGGACCCGTGACAGGATGTGACAAGAAGGGCACCTCACCTCGGTGGTCTTCTTCCTGAAAGCCCATCCCCCCGTCTCACCATGAAAGACACACCAGACGAATCCCGACTGAAGGGCACTCCACGAAACACCTGACCCGTCCTCAAAGCTGCCAAGGTCATCAAAAACAGGGAAAGTCAGAAACTGTCCCAGACCAGAGGAGCCCAAGGAGACAGGACAACTTAACGTCATGTGGGTCCTGGATGGGGTCCTGGGACAGGAACAGAACGTGAGATAAAAACAAGGGAAATCTGAATAAAGTATGGACTTCGGTTCATGACTATGTGTCACTATTGGCTTATTCATTGTGACGAATGTACCAGCCGACTCGGACGTCAACAGTAGGGATTGGGTGCGGAGTATATGGGGACTCGACTATCTCTGCAATTTTTCTGTAACTCTAAAACTAAATTAAAACTTAAAATCTTATTTTAGAAATAAGTGAAGAGGGAAGTCGGATGTGGGGAGAGGCCCACGGTACGTGCGATTAACTCGTAAGTCCGAGCTGGAAGACGGAGATCACACTGGCGATTTGACCAGAGAGAAGTCGGTAGAAATGATTGGTACGAAGTGGTTAACTAGATGGCTTTCGGGACCGAAAAAGGACGCGGAGGCAGTGACGGCCGCGGGGAGTCAAGCGCTGGTCACCGAACTCGAAGTTTTTTCTCACGAGGGATCAAGCAGCGTCTCAGTGGGGAACTGCGTTCCTGGGGTCTCGGCGATGCATCACACCGGCCAAACTCCCCGTGACTACTCGCGTCCCTGTGGGGCCACCTTCTCTCTCTCTGGCAGCGTTGGGATGGACGGGTGGTTTTGGGTCTTGGCAGCCCGATCTACCCGTGACAGAATTCTCCATCTGTCCTTCACGGAATCACTCGAACTGCCACGAATGGTCGTAACTTCGGCCCACGGTCTCGTCAACCATTGCGGTTTGGTGATTTTCTGAGTCTGGTTTTACTTCTGCCTTTATTTTCCAGACTTATCCTACAGGGAAGAACTTTCTTCATCAACTCTTTGGTTACCCCCGAAATACGGGAAAGGCGGAATTATAAATGCTTCATTTTCTCCCCCCTTACCTGTCAGATTTCACAATAATGAATTGGTCTATCGGCTTCTAAAGGGATTTTTTTTTTTAAAAGTCAGGGTTTTTAAAGAATTATCACTATGACCTCATGAATTTTAATGTATTCGATGTTTTTCGATCAGTGGCATTCGGTGATGCATGGCCAGTGGGAAATCAGGTGGCTGGCAGGCCCGCGGTCCACTCCCCACCCCGCCCCCGCTGCCCCCCGACTCCCCGCAGCTCTGGGGGAGAGGCTCAGCCTGGCACCTCTCTCCTGGCCCCCATGGCTGCCGGCAGTGCTCGGCCTTCCACGGCTAGTGGCCCGGATGCCCAGTCTCTGTCCTCCTCCCCCACGACTCTCCTCTGCATTTCTAATGAGGACACTTGTCATTGGATTAGGGCCCAGATCATCCAGGATGATCTCATCTCAACGTTCTCAGTTAATGACATCTGCAAAGACCCCTGTTCCAGTAAGGTCACATTGACAGGGGTTCAGGGCTGTGACCCTGCCGTACCTTTTTGGGGGGGATGTTTCTCATTCAACCCACTGTTTACATGGAAACGGATGCAGGAAAAAGCAGGGGACTCTAGGATGGGTTATCTGGCCAGGCTGTGGCTAAAACCGATAGAGGTACAATTCGTATTAGGAGACAGGACGAGAGGGACCATATGGCCAAGGGTGTCCTGTGATCGCCCAGTGAGGACCCCAGAGAAGGGCTCTGGAGGACCCAGGACCTGCCAGTGCCAGAAAGATCAGCGGATGGCTATGGTGCAGGGTGTTTTTTTTAATGACTCTCCAGGAAAGACAATAAAGAGCTAAGATTCCCACATTTCAGTCTCAGATGCAGGCTGACAGCGAGGATGCCGGGCCTGATGTCTCGGGAGGCGGCCGCTGGGAGGTCTGTGTGTGTGTGTGTGTGTGTGTGTGGGCACCTGCGCTGGCCCAGCGTTTCCCGAAGCAGTGTGGGTGGTGAGTTTCCAGAGCGTCCACCTGGGGGTCTCCATCCTCGCGACCCATGCCCCCACTCAGTCCCCGCCGGGGCCCTGGGCCTGGCCGAGGAGGCCGCGGCCGGCTCACGCGGGCCCTGCCCGCCGCCCAGCGTTCCCACGCTGCCCTAAGTGCGTGATTCTCCACGCTCGCCTTCGCGGACCTGCCCCAGCGCATTCTCAGCTGCCTGCG